TGTGTGTGTGTGTGTGTGTGTGTGCGCGCGCGCGCGCGCGTGTGTATAATCTGTATAATAATTCATCCTGGGATTACGATTACTAATTTGTTGGAGGTCAGTATCAATTCGTTCCCTTGTAATTTCATATCTTTCCTTTAGAGGCGCTAGAAACCCCTTTCGCCATAGACTGTAAAAAAAAAAAAAAGCAAAGAGAAGAAGTCGTTCCAGGCTCTGATTGGTCGAGCCGTTGCTCAGCGGTATTATGTTTGTTAATGCAACTGTCAAAGAAGTATGATAGCTTTGTTTCATTCATAACATTATTTAGAACACTCTCGATGTGAGGAATGAAGAATAAAAAGGCGAAACCTTCAAAGGGTGTAAGCAACAGAAAAAGAGGTCAGTTGCATTGGTTTGGAGGTTGTTAGTTGTCGCAAAAAAAAAAAAAGATTCAAAATCTCGTAACCTTTGCGCGGACAAAACCTGCGTTTAAATAGTGATTTGCCTACCTAGACAGTATTTTAGCGCTCACTGCGTTTTGAGACAGCCGAAGCGAATGACTAATGCTTATTTGTTGTTGGCTGCACTTGGATTTGGACTGTACAAAATAAACAGCTGTATTCCAGGCATTATGAACTCATATCTTTCTTATTATCCACACTCTGCAGTGCTCAGTGATGTTTCTCCATCCACCAGTATTCCTCCTCTGGTGGAGGGTCAGCTGAGATGCTTTCTGAGGGTGACAGTGAGTAAAGTGCTGTGGGTCATCACCAGACCTCCTCCTGTGACTCTGATCAGGCTCAGATGGTGGGGAGAGTCTTCCACTGGCACCTTCTTCAGGCCTAGAGATGGACATGCTGGACAGAAGAGGGTAAAATCAACAGCCCGCTTTCCAGTTCGATGTGGACCAAAACAGCTGGCGTCTTATTTGACAGGTTAGATTTGGTTGCTATACAGGTGATGGCTGATTATTGATGGTCCCTAGAGAGGCATATTTAACTTTAGATATGTGTGGATTTCAGTGTTCCAGCAGGTCTTAAATGTATCTCCGTTGAACCTGCAGAAGCCCTGAATTTATTCATGTGATGCATAGCTGAATTTAATATTTCTTTGTTCACAGACATGGGCTCATTGGTGCTGGATGTGCTTACAAAGGTCGATCATTTGCCTATAGCTCGAGCTCAAATCCCTGGGATTGCCCGGCTGTCTTTGTCTCACTCCATAAATGGATACTTCACTCTTGTTTCCCCGTCATCAGAAAAACTCGGAGAGCTTCAGGTGGGTGAGATGCTCAGCAGAGTTCACATTTATTCAGCTGATCTAATTCACTGGGAATATGTTTTTTTTCCCCTCAGGTTTTAGGTTCACAGTTTAACTCTCATGTTGTATTCTGTTCATTTTGACCCAGAGAGGATTTTCTTTTTTCGAAAACCATAGTTAATCGCATTGGAATCAAACTTACTGCACCAATGTTATAGCAACTTCCCAAAAATAACTGGATCATTTTTGTACTTTGAGTATTTTTCCCCCACCTTGTTACATTTATGGTGTTCCCGGTCCAAATCAATTGGCTACAAAAAATTGCTTATAAATCTCTCATAATGCTATATTATCACCAAGTATTCTATTCAATCTTTTTGTCAACTTGTTTTCTTTCAGTTAACACTGGTTTTGTATTTCGTTTTGGAACAGAGTGATCATAGGCATCATTTATCTGAGCTTATGCACCTCCGTTTGTGAGTG